GCCCGCAACCAAGGCACATGCCCCTGACCGGAATCAAACCCGGGACCCCTCAGTCCGCAGGCCGACGCCCCATCCACTGAGCCAAACCGGTTTCGGCAAAATGTTTTCAAATTTATAGCCTAAGTGTACAGTGTTTATAAAGTCTACAGCAGTGTACAGTGATGTCCTAAGCCTTCACATTCCCTCACTGCTCACTCTCTGACTCACCAGAGTAACTTCCAGTTCTGCAAGCTCCATTCATTTTAAGTGCTTTATATACCAGATTGTACCATTTTTTACCCTTTATGCTACATTTTTACTGTATCTTCTCTATGGTTAGGTATATTTAAATACATAAATATTTACCACTGTATAATGGCCTACAATATTCAGTAACAGGCTGTATGGGTTTGCAGCCTGGAAGCAATAGGCTATACGATAGCCTAGGTATGTAGTAGGCCATATACCATCTAGGTGTGAGTAAGTAAACTCTATGATGCTCACACTCTGATTTAAAATAGCTTTAGATTATTTTAAAAAAAATATGGAACACTTCACGCATTTGCCTGTCATCCTTGCCCGGGGCCATGCTAATCTTCTGTGTCGTTCCAATTTTAGTGTAAGTGCTGCCGAAGCAAGCATTAGTTTTAGATTTTTTAAAAAAGCCCTAGGGAAAACAAATGAATCCTATTTCCACCTAGCTTGTTTATTATTGTTTTTAATAATATACTTCAGTGGAAAAGTAAAATTGAAAAATGTTAAAGACCTCCATCTCCAGTATACTAAAGAATATTCTGAGTATTTAAAACCAGTCAAAATGCTCAAGAGTGCACTATATAACCTATATATCTCTCAAACAGCGGTTCTCAACCTGTGGGTCGTGACCCTTTGGGGGTCAATCGACCCTTTCACAGGGGTCGCCTAAGACCATCGGAAAACACATAATTACACATTGTTTTTGTGATTAATCACTATGCTTTAATTATCTTCAATTTTTAACAATGAAATTGGGGGTCACCACAATATGAGGAACTGTATTAGAGTCGTGGCATTAGGAAGGTTGAGAACCATTGCTCTAATACAAGCCACATATCCTTGCAGTGGTTCTCAACCTTCTAGCCCTTTAAATACAGTCCCTCATGTTGTGACCCAACCATAAAATTATTTTCGTTGCTACTTCAAAACTGTAATGTTGCTACTGTTATGAATCGTAATGTAAATATCTGCTATGCAGGATGGTCTTAGGCGACCCCTGTGAAAGGGTAGCTCGACCGCCAAAGGGGTCGCGACCCACAGGTTGAGAACCACTGCCTTAGAGAATTTCCCTTTTATTACTCTTCATCTCTGTTCATTCTTCACTTTGTAAACTCCCTGTCATGGAGCGATGTGGGAGTGAGTTTAATAATACAATAGCTGCCTGTTGTCAAAACATGTCATTTTAGATAGTTCTACTACAATGACAGCAGCACTAAAGGGTATTTTGAAGAGAAAATAAAAAGCATAAAGCCATCTTTTTCTGAAGGAAACTGTAAAAAAAAAAAAAAAGGACATTCCCCTTTAAAAGGGGGAGAGCCTAGCCTTAATCAGCTAATTGTTCAGTTCACTGAAACCGAGGTCCTAAAAATAACAACTTCTAAATGTGCAGCAGTTTCAGACTTTTACTTAGGATGTACCAGGTAGAAAGCTGCAAAGAATGTTCCTCCCACCATAAGAAGAAACAGCTGAATGATATACAAAATCCTAATACTTTTGAGCCCTTAGGTCTGTGGTTCTCAACATTGGCTGCACATTAGAATCACCTGGGAATCCTTTAAAATCCTGATTTCTGGGCCTCATCCTCCGGAAATTCTATTTCTTTGTTTTGGGATGGGGCCACAACATTAGTAACAAAGAAACAGAATTTCCGGAGGATGAGGCCCAGAAATCAGGATTTTAAAAAGATTCCCAGGTGATTCTAATGTGCAGCCAAGGTTGAGAACCACTGCCTTAGGCGGTGGAGGCTGCAAAGCACTCGGGGAGAGATAGAAGTCTTGTTTTTGGCAGGGCATAGGAGAAAATGTGACTGCTCTATAAGCACGTGAGGAAATTAGATTTTAACATTTTTAATGGCCAAGCATGGGCTACTGCATCACTTTGGAACAAGACTGGCTATCCTATCTAATAAAAGAGAAACATGGTAATTGGTGTACGACCGCTACCCTTCCGATTGGCTAATCAGGGTGATATGCAAATTAACTGCCAGCCAAGATGGCGGCCGGCAGCCAGGCAGCTTGAAGCCAACATGAGGCTTGCTTGCTTTAGTGACGGAGGACTCCAACGTTCCCCGCCTGTCGTTACTGGCCTCTGAGCTTGCAGTTTGAAACATTGTTACAAATATAGAAGCTAAACAAAACCCCAGAAACCTGCTTTCAGCCAGCCAGGATCTCAGAGCTGGAGTTGATACAGTGTTTCAATTATAGAACCCAAACAAACCAGATACCTGCTTCCAGCAACCGAGGCCTAAGAGCTAGAGCCAAGCCTCAGAGCTAAAGCTGGCCCAGAATAAAAAAAAAAAGGAGCAGTTGGGAGCTTCAGTCACCTGCCTGCTTGTGGCTCTGTGTGACAGGGGGCGAGGCCACAACATCCTTATAGCCCTGCTCTGTTTGTGACAGGGCAGGCGCCCCAACCCCCTGATCAGCCCTGCTCTGTGCCTGATAGGGGGGAGCTCCCCAACCCCCTGATCGCCCTGCGGCTCTGTGTGTGACAGGCTGCGGTGCCCCAACCCCCTGATCAGCCCTGCTGTGTGTGACAGGGGGCGGTGCCCCAACTCCCCTATCTGCCCTACCCTGTGAGTGACAGGGGGCAGTGCCCCAACCCCGATTGACCCTGCTCTGTGCGTGACGGGGTGGTGCTGCAACCTCCCCATCGACCCTGCCTTGTGTGACGGGGCGGTGCCCCAACCCCCCAATCAGCCCTACCCTGAGCGTGACTGAGGGTGGCATCGCAACCTCCCGATCGCCCTGCTCTGTGCATGACAGGGGGCAGCACCCCAACTCCCCAGTCAGCCCTGCTCTGAGCCTGACCAGGGGCTGCACCTAGGGATTGGGCCTGCCCTCTGCCACCCGGGAGCAGGCCTAAGCCAGTAGGTCGTTACCTCCCGAGGGGTCCCAGACTGCAAGAGGGCACAGGCCGGGCTGAGGGCCCCCCCCCCAGTGCACAAATTTTTGTGCACCGGGCCTCTAGTTTAATATATGGTTCATAAAATGAAGGCAGGACACCTTATTTAAAAATGAAGAATTCATGTGTGGCTCAGTGGTTGAGCATCGACCTATGAACCAGGTCAGGGTTCGATTCCCGGTCAGGACGCATGCCCGAATTGCGGGCTTGATCCCCAGTGGAGGGTGTGCAGGTGGCAGCCAATCAATGATCCTCTCAATATTGATGTTTCTAGGTCTCTCTCCTTTCCTCTCTGAAATCAATAAAAATATATTTTAAAAAAAATAAAAGTGAATAAGATGGGGGGGGGGGCGTGCAGGAGGCAGCTGATCGATCTCTCTCATCGATGTTTCTAACTCTCTATCCCTCTCCCTTCTTCTCTGTAAAAAAATCAATAAAATATATTTAATAAATAAATAAACGAACAATTCAAGACATTGACAGCACAGCATTATAAGTGTGGGGCTGTGAGTGACTGCACAGGTCACACCATGAAGCCAGTCCGGGCTGCGGGCCTCAGACACACACAGAGTTCCCACTCACCTGAAAGCTCTTCTCCCACTGGCCTTCAGCTGGTGTCCATGAGGAGTGAGAGCAGTGCAGATGACTGGAGAAGACAAAACAACCACGATGCAAACGAGGAGGTAATTGGCGGCTATGGAGGAATAAACTCAAAGCCCCACCAGCTCCTTGGTATCCTCTACAAAACCAAAGTCATAACCCGCAGGGGGCAGTGCACCAAATACTATGGTCACAGGACATTGGCAAATGTGTTTCTAGAGAAGCAGTAAAAGCAAAACCCATCCTCCTCCCCCAGGACAGGCAAACACTTAGTGCTGCTGGGGGAAGGGTAGAAGCAAATATTCTCTACTCTTGGTGGAGGAGCAGGTTCAGGTAACAGATGTTTGCTATTACTGGGGAGTAACAATCACAGTCTACAACCGGGGAAGTGTAAGAGCAGGAGGAAGGCCCTCTCTGATACAGGTAAGCAAGGCCAATGGAAAGCTGAGGGCAGATCAGGCACACAGAAAAACCTAGCATCTCCACCCCTACCCTAAACACAAGGTAACAGCAGCCAGCCCATCATTAGTACAGCTTGAGGTCTATGGGCTCCGAGCCTCTGAGTAACAATAGACTTCTATTGTAAAAATATCTTTCAAAAATGAACATGAAACACTTCATACAAAAGTTGAAGAAATTCATCACCAGCAGACTAGTACTATAATAGTTAAGTCTTTAAGGCAGAAGAAAATTAAACCAGGAGGAAATACGAATCTATACAGACATAAAGAGCACTACTTGGGTTATTTAAGAAATCTTTGCCTAACCCAAGGTCTCAAAGGGGTCTGTGTTTTCTTGTAAAAGCTTGTATTAGGTCTTATGCTTAAGTCTATGATCTATTTTCAGTGAATTTCCAGTCAAGGCATGTGCCTGAGTTGCAGGTGTGTGCAGGAGGCAACCGATTGATGTCTCTTGCACACCGAAGTTTCTCTCTCTTCCCCTTTCTCTGAAATCAGAGAGGCATATCCTCAGGTGAGAACTGAAGAAGAGAAAAATAAATAAATAAAAGATTCTTCCTAGCTATATAATATTCTACAGTTCTAGCATACAATCCATATAAAGACATTAACACAAATTGTCTAAAGAAAAAAGATTTTTTTATAGTCTAAAAGATATCAGGTACTACTTGATTTTTTTCTTATGAAAATAAGCCCTATACAAAGATCGTTAACTCAAACTGCCTCAACACAATTGTTCACTATGAGATTTTATATCAAATTTCAAAATAAAACTTTCATTTCAAGTATACCACAATAAACCAATGATTTTGTTTAAAATGAAAAGTTTATTTGCTCAAAACACCAAATAGGATGCAAGCAATGTCATGACAAATATATAGAAATATGCAGACCAACATAAAACAGTAATTCTGTTTAAATGAAGGGGAAATCTCTTTCAATGTTATGACAACATACTCCCAAAAAGAATCTTTTCTTCAGTTAATTATACATTTCAATAAAATAAAGGGTAATGGATTAAGAGGAAGTTAGCTTGTGAATTTTTCTTAGAAATAAGACTCCAACTCTATTAATCCATGCCAGTTAAACATTATAACTAAAATTTCCAAAGAAGTGCAAAAGGAGATAAAGGGGTTAGTTACGTTTTTTGTTTGAACAGTCCAGAGGAAAATGGTTACTACAAATACAGCAGGCAAACTGTTAAGACTGACTGATCTAGAACTGTACTAAATTTCAGTCAATGCTCGTCATTGTGCTAAATGCTCGTCATTAGTATGGCACATTTTGGTCCATGATATAGTTTAATGCCAAGATAGATCCCAATTTGTTACAGATACACTTAGATTACTGTTGCTTGTGTGTTTTTTTTCTAAATATATATATATATATTTAAAAAGCCAGGATACTTCCACATACAAAGGCAGGTTTTCCCAGGAGGGACTTATAGGAAGTAGTCTGGGGTGCGCCGGGTGACGTGAGGCTCTCCACGACGAGGTGCTGGGTCAAACTGAAGGCTATAAACGGCAAAAACAAACACCCAATAGTTAAAGGATTTGAATTTGTAAACAAACAAATCAATGTTATGACGGGAATGGACAAGTCACTGCCGGTGTTCTCCATGAAACTACCTCACAGAGCTATGGCAAAAATTTAAGCAGATGAAATGTCCAATTCGGTGCCTGGCACAAAACGTTTGCAGTATTATCACACTGTATGCAGGAAATGTATTTATACATTTTACGTTGACTGGTAGTAGAGCAGTGCGGGACACGTATTAATAAGTTTTTTATAGACTAGCGGTAGAATGCAGCTAAAGTATAAATATGTAAACTAAAATTATTGTAATTTTACTGAACGTTGCCATTTGCGCAAAAAATTAGCAAAAATGGCCCGCACCACCTGTTAGCGCGCGATAAAAACTACCCGCAAACAATGTGTTATCATCAGCTAAATGGAAGTGCCAAGAGCAGACTTGCTTGTTTTATGCTAGACTTTAGGGAGAAATATTTAGCCTTTTACTATTAAGAATAATGTTAGCCCTACCAGCATGGCTCAGTGGTTGAGTGTTGACCTATGAACCAGGAGGTCACGGTTTGATTCTAGGTCAGGGCACATGCCTGCGTTGCAGGCTCAATTTACAGTAAGAGCGTGCAAGAGGCAGCTGATCAATCATTCTCTCTCATCATTGTTGTTGTTTTTTCCCCCCCATCATTGATGTTTCTCTCTCTCCCTATTCCTTCCTCTCTGAAATCAATTAAAAAGTATATTTAAAAAAATGATGTAACGTGTTTTGTAGATGCCCTTTATCAGGATAAGGAAGTTCCCTTATTTAATTATTTTTATTATGAACTAGAGGACCAGGTTCATTCGTGCACTGGTGGGGTCCCTCGGCCTGGCCTATGGGGATCGGGCCAAAACGGGTAGTCGGACATCCCCCGAGAGGGCACTCTGCAAAGTTGCTGTTGCTCGACAGCTCCTGCATTGAGTGTCTGCCGCCTGCTTGGTCATTGTGCATCATAGCTACCAGCTGGTCGCTTAGGCTTTTATATAGATAGATGGGTGCTGGGGTTTGGCTTTACTGGGATGATCATGTGTTTTTTGTCCTTTATTCTATTCATATAGTTTATCACATTAGTTCTACGTTTTGAACCAACTTTGCATTCCTGGGACAAATTCCACTTGGCCATGATGTGTAATCCTTTTTACATCATGGATTACACATTGCTGGATTCAGTTTGAGGATATTTGGTTGCACACATTTATATTTAAATGCATTAACAGTACCCATCTGTAGTTTCCTTAAAATGTCTTCGGTTTTGGTATTAGGGGTTACACAGCCTCAAAGAATGAGTTGGGAAGTAATGCCCCTCTTCTTTTTTTTGAAGGTTTTGTGGACTGGTGTTAATTCCTTTTTAAATATTTGGTCAGTTCCCCAAAGAAGGCAATTGGGCCTGGGTTTTTATTTGTAGGAAGTATTAAAATTATGAATTTAAATTTCTTCACTTGTTACAGGTCTATTCAAATACTCTTTTTAATTGAGTCAGTTTTGGTAGTTTCTAGAAATTTTTCAAGTTACCTAATTGTATTATTATACAGTTACTCACTGTATCCCCTTATAATGCCGTTTATTTCAGTAAGGTAACTTTGGTAATGCATCTTCACTCCTCTTTTCTTGGTCAGTCCAGTTTTCTTGTTAAAAATAATCAACAAATTTGTTGAAAATAATCAACTTTTGGTTTAGCTGATTTTCTGTTTTCATAGTATTTCATTTTATTTTCACACTAAACTTTCCTTGCACTGAGTTTAATTTGCTTTTCTTTTTCCAGATCCTTAATGTGTAAAGTTAGGTTTTTGATTTGAGATCTTTCTTGATTTGTAATATAGGCTTTACAACTATAAATTTTCTTATAAACACTGTTTTCACTGCATCCCCTAAGTTTAGGCACATTCTGTTTTCACTTTCATTCATCTATAATTTTTCTAATTTCTCCTGTGATTTCTTCTTTGACCCACTACGTTATTTAAAAGTGTTAATTTTCACACATTTATACATTTTCCAGTTTTCCTTCTGTTATTGATCTGCCTAGTTTTATCATTGAAAGTGGTATAATAAAGTCTCCAATGATTGTTGTTGAATTGTCTAGTCCTTCGATTCTGTTAGTTTTGCTCAATATATTCTAAGGCTCTGCTGTTGAGTGCATGTTATAGCTGATATATCTTCCCGGTGGTGTGATTCTTTTATCATTATGAAATGTTCTTCTTCGTGTCTAATAACAATTTTTGTTTTGAAATCTATTTTTTTCATTTTTTTGAAATCTGACATTTGTGTATCCAGTGTTCTTGTGGTTGCTATTTGCATGGTGAATTTTTTTCTACCATTTTACTTCTAACCTACTTATAGAAGTAACTATATTGTATTTCTGAATGTAAGTTGTTTCCTGTAGACATCGTAAAACTATCTTAAAAAACAATGGCCTAATAATCTCTGCCTTTTGATTGCATTGCTTAAACTGTTCACATTTATTATTATTGATATGAGAGAATTTATACCTATTTTAAAAATGTGTATTCTGTTTCTTGGTTCCTGCTTTAACTGCTTTATTAAAACGATATTTTTTAGTATACCACTTAAATTTCTTTAATAACTTTACAATTATTTTTCATTTTTTAATATGTTTTAATTGATTTTATAAAGAGAGGAATGGAGGAGAGAGAGAAATATCAATAAGAGAGAATCATTGATTGGCTTATCTCCTGCATGCTCCGTACTTGGGATCAAGCTCACCACCTGGGCATGTGCCCTGACTGGGAATTGAACCAATGACCTCTTGGTGCATGGATGATGCTCAACCAACGGAACCACACTGGCTGGGCTATAATTGTTTTTCTTAAATTATTTTATTAGTGGTTGCTCTAAAGCTTACAATACACAACATAAAACTACTACAGATTTATACTAACTTAATTGTAGTGCCTTATAGAAGTTTACTCCTATATAACTCCTTTCTATTCTCCTCCCTTTTATTGCTACTGATGTTATATAGATAGTATATCTGTATATGTTACAGACCCCCAAATACTTAATTTATAGATTTTGTTATATTAACCTTATTTTTATTTTCTTCATGTTCTTCCTTAGGATTCAAGTTACCATGTAGTGTCACTTCTATGTACTGTTACTGCCAAATATACTACACTTGTATATATTACCTTTCCTATAAGTTCAATTATACTTCACAAAATGTGTCCATATTGTGTAATGCAACTGGTTGTAAATCAGTTAAGAAAGTTGCAATTGTGCTTTTACAATTGCCACTGTGTGCGTGCGCAGACATTTGATTTACTTTCTGGTGTCATTCACCTTCAGCCTGAAGGGAGACTCTCTTGGCAGGTCTGCTAGCACTGAATTTTCTCCATTTTGCTTATCTGGGCACATTTTTCTTTTGCATTCATTTTGAAATTTTGCTGGCTGTAAGATTCTTGGCTAAGTTTTTATTTTCAGCACTTTGAATGAATATATTGTCCCATTGCCTTTCTGATGAGATGTCAGCTGATTATCCTATTTAGGTCCCCCTTTTTAAGTCATTTTTCTCTTACAGCTTTCAACATTTTTTCTTTTACACTTTCAGCATTTTAACTATGACATAAATGGTTACGGATTTCTTTAAATTTATCCAAGTTAGAGTTAGTTGAGCTTGGGTATGTAAATTAATGCTTATCATCAAATATGAGAAGCTTTCAGCCATGATTTCTTCAAATATTCTTTCTGTCCCCTTTTCTCTCTCCTCTCCTTCTAGAGCTCCCATACACTTATATTGGTGTGCTTAAAGGTGTCCTACATTTCTGAGCCTCTATTAATTTTTCTTCTCTTATTTTTCTCCTTGCTCTGCTGTTTTGCTTGATGCTACGAGAGCCCTCTTAATTGGTCTCTGCCATGATACTCATTGTTCAACAAAGTACTCAGGCTTGGAGTTCTATGTAAGATCAGTTCCCTCAGGCAGAGCTGAGGAACTTTTTGAGCTGCCTCTCACCCTGAACAGAACTTCTATGCAGTTGCTTTGGAGCTGTTTTCCACCTCCCCCCACTAGTA